TAAAATAAAATAAAATAAAAAATAAATAAATAAAATAGAGAAAGACAGAATACCCAACATCCTCAGTTGGCCTCCACACAGCTGTGCACACTCATATACTCTTGAATACCACCCCTCCCCCTAATACATACACAAAGTAACACAGAGCTAGCTGGGAACCTGGGGATTGGATTCAATTCCCTATTCTGCCACTGAGCTGCTGGTGGCTCCAAAGAAGTCAGTTCTGCCTTTGAGTCTCTGTTTTCCTATCTGCAGAGTCTGCAAAGGCCATTTCCAGCGTGGCTATGACCCATGGGCCAGGATCTACAAGCCAGTTGTAGCAATCTTCTTCACTTGAAACTATAGCTGAGATACTTCACTTGGTCCAATTGAAGATATTCTTAATTTATGTCATGTACATCACCGTTAGTGCACCTGCTAACACTTCCTCTTGGTGACTTGTTCCTTTGTGTGATGTGTGATTTATGAATCTTACTTTCATTTCCACCAGAACCGTTTGTGGTGAGGTGGTTTGCCCAGCTTGTGGTGGTATCTGTCCCTGAGTCGTTAGCTTTGCCTCTTGCTGAGAGGCCTAAGACACTCACACGGTGCTTATGCTAATTCCTTGGTTTGGTTTAATGGGAACTAGAGTCACATCTGTGTTGATACAGGTCTTCTTGGCTTCGGGGGCAGTTCTTAACCCCTGGAACACTGAACATAAGACCAGTGGCCTGTGTCCCTCTCACATCCTTTAAGGCCCCAAGCACCCTGGCCTGGCTCAGAAAGCCCCTTAGGGTCAGGAGGAATCTCTTACCCCTTCTCTCATGCCAACCCATAAAAGTATAATTTCAATTTTAAGGAGGTCAGTCCCTGGGCACTAGCTACTTTGTTTCCCAAAAGAAGTCCTAATGTGCTCTGCAGGGCCAATCAGGGGACCCCATGCTTTTCCTTTCACAGTCTCAGCACCAGCAGCCATGTTCTCTCCCTCTGAGACTCCAGAGATGACAAATGCAATTGGAGACACAGCTTGGGAGATGCTGATCCCTTGAAGTTATGTGGTGTATCTGGGGTTGTCTGTGCCTTTGTGTTTCCATTCCCCTCCCCTTTTGTAACATTCTGCCATAGGATAATGCCTTTGTACACTGGTTTAATAAAACGCTGATTGGCCAATAGCAAGGCAGGAAGTATAGGTGGGATAAGCAGACAAGGAGAATTCTGGGAAGAGGAAGGCTGAGTCAGGAGACACCAGCCCACCACCCAGTCAGCAGCATGTAATGGCACATAGGTAAAGCCGTGGAAAACATGGTGACATATAGATTAACAGAAATGGGCTGAGTTTAAGTATAAGTGCTAGCTAGTAGTAAGCTTGAGCTAATGGCCAAGCAGTTTTAACTAATATAAGCCTCTGTATGTTTACTTGGGTCTCAGCAGCTGTGGACCAGGTAGGACACAGGAGAACTTCAACTACAATTTTCGGACCTCTTGTGTTTTTAAACTTGTTCAAAATTCCTTGCCCCAGTCTTGCTCTGCTTTGTGATTATGTTGTGCAACACTGTTTCAGGAAAGGCAAGAATAAATGTCTACTCATCTCAAATGTGGAACTAATGACCAATGAAGTATGGATACCACCAAAGTCCCTCTTGGTGAGCCAAAGAGGGTTTTTTGTTTGTATTTTGTTGTTTTCTTACAGGAATATGGGTGAGGGCTTACCTGTAGGATAAGAAATGACACAAAGACAACAGCATCACCTACCCTAGCATGGGTGACAGCTCAGAGAAGTTGGAAACCTAGAGCACAGTGTACAGCCTGAAGGTGGCCCAACAGTTTGGAGACTCTCTTCTAGCCAGTTCAGGTGATGTGAACTTCTTCCAGGTGACTCTGCGGGGATCACCCTGCCTCTTCCAGGCAGCTTGGCTGGTCTGAGCCTCTTCTAGGTAGTCAACTTGTCTGAGAATGTCTCTCACCAGTCCTTACTGTTTATATGTACCTGGTTATCTTAGTTAGGGTTTTATCACTGTGAAGAGATACTATGACCACTGCAGCTCTTGTAAAGGAAAGTATTTAGTTAGAGCTGGCTTACAGTTCAGAGGTTTAGTATCATAGTGGGAAGCATGATAGCCCACAGGCAGACATGCTGCTGGACAGGTAGTGGAGAGTTCTACATCTGGATCTGCAGGCAGCAGGAAGAAAGAGTGAGACACCGGGCCTGGCTTGAGCATTTGAAACCTCCATGCCCACCCCAGTGACACAGTTCCTCCAACAAAGTCACACTTACTCCAACAAGACCACACCTCCTAATAGTGCTATTCCCCACCCCACCCCACCCCCCGGAGCCTATTGGGGGCCATTTTCATTCAAACCAGCACACTGGTCAATTCTGGGGACTTCCTGAAACTTTTGAGTTATTTATTTCCCAAGCTTAGGGAACGTCCTGGTTAGTTTTTTGTCAACTTGACATAAGCAAGAGTCATGGGAAGAGGGAACTCAACTTAAAGAAAATGTCCCCAACAGATTGGCCTGTGGACGAGCCTGAGAAGTGTTTTCTTGATTAATGATTGATGTAAGAGGACCCATATTGATGCGAGGCTGCCCCTGGTCTTTTAGTCCCGGTTGAAGGCAGGCTGAGCAAGCCATAGGAAGCACACTAACACGCAATGTTCCTCTATGGCCTCTGCTTCAGTTCCTGCCCTGACTTCCCCACCAGGGATGAGTGTGACATACAAGATGGAATGTTTGCTTTCCCCTTAGAACATTCTGTGTCTTAAGAAGCTTCCCTCTGAGATGGAATTTTTTTTTCCTCAGAGGAGATTGGCATGCAGCGGCATGACAGCATTGAGAACACATCCACCCAGCACAGGGAACAATTATTGCCTCCTTTGCTTGTCTGTTACCAACAGCATCTGAATGGGGGTGTCTGGGAGAGGGCTGGTGAATGTCCAGATGTCAGGTGTTCTGTGTGTAACTGTTGTGATTTGAAGTTCTTGGTGTTGTTCTACGAGAGGACATCGCCCCCTGGTGCTCACGAGGTGTATGTGCAGAACAATAAACTGCCAATGAACAAGCACAAATTGTTGTTACTCCTGAGGGCCTGCTTTGGTAGAAGTGCTCTGGCACCTGTCTGAGAAGCATGTGGGTTACTTCCTCTATGTGTGGGCAACCTCAATCCAAATAGCTCGATAAAGGGAAACTCCCTTTTTATTTTCTAAAACTTTCCACGTCTCTTCTACCCACACACTTGACCTGGCTTGACTAGATTCCCCTTAAAGAGACAGACCACATGGCAAGGGAAATAAGTGTGAACTATGGAAGAATGGTTATCTTGAGAACCAGGAATGTTAACTTCTCTTTTCTTAAGAGTTATTTGTTTTGATTTCAAGTGGATGAGTGTTTTGCCTGCCGTGGGTCCCCTGGAACTGGAGTCACAGAGGGCTGGGAGCTGCTGTGTGGGTGGTAGTAATACAACCTCAGACAGCAGCAAGTGCTCTCAGCTGCTGAGTCATCCCTCTGGGCCTGAAGGCTAACTTCTTGAAAGTGACTGTGCTTGACTACAATAGAGTATATGCTTTCATCATTGGTAGGTGGATTTTTTTTTCATTCAAGTAAATGTTTAGTTTTAATGATTATAACACCGGTTAGAACACAATAAGAAAGAAACGAAGAGTTTCCATTATTGCCAAATTCTCTCTCCATCTCTAATATCCTACAGGATGTGGCTTTCTCGGAAGCCAGGCCCTGCTTGTCACAGACTCCAACCTTAGGAACCCAGAGCTCAGCAGAGCCAGGAAAATCCCACTTGGGGATCAGGATGTGGCTTTGTGAAGTGGCTTGACAGTGAAGCAGAAACCCCAAATGCTGACATCATACAGATGAGCACTCAGACAGAATGTTACTAGGTGCACATTTTAATGAATATTTACGTACATTTTTGTTAGTAGAAATATGTTAGTGAAATACTTTTGTCTCAACAGGAAGTTTGTACCTTAAATGTCTAGGAGTCTCCTACTGTGCTTTGCAGATTCAGTAATCCTTAAAAGAATTTACAGAAGAAAGTCAGTACTTTAAGAAAAATTATTAGCTTGACTGAAACATGTAAAACTCACTCAGAACCCACAAAGCATGGAGGGAAAAGTTTTAATACTGAACATTTTAATACTGAAAGGGGCAGGTTTGGTGAAGAAGTTATGGAATCAGCCCACTTGGGAGGGCAGAGTTCAAATTCGGCTATTCACTCCTCTCTGTATCTCAGCTGGAAATGAATAATTTTTCCCACATTCCCACAGGCAGAAACTTGGAGCTCTTGAGAAGGGCCTACCGTGTGCACAAGTCCTTGGTTGTAAACATTAAGGAGAGAACATCTTTGTGCTGTGGTGAACAGATACATAATTTCTAGAGCAGCTGTGGAGGAATTTCTGTGTTGTGAGAATTAAATCAGATATTAAAATTGAGCAAAACCCCAACTACTGCCAGGTGTCAATTGTGTACCCTATCAGATGCCCCAAGGAAGTCATCCTGCAATTGAAATAAATGTCACAGGTGGTACTGGTTGCCTTTTCCAGTTAACTTAATGACATAAACCTTTTATCACATCAGCCCTGTTTCTAAAAATGAAAGCATGCCAAAACTAAAAGGACAGGGCATAATGTTTCTTGTTTTTAATTTTAATTTTAGGGAGTAATTAATACTTAAATGGGGGCTTATTTTGACTTTTGCATTTTTCACCCCTAGGAAAATAGACTTGTTGGAATATGGGGTGTATCTATGCATGTGTCTTTGTATTTGTTCCCACACTTGTGATGAGAAGGCATGAAGGGTGAATGTCATTCACAGAAGAAGAAAGGGTTATAATTTTGGTAACATAGAAGGTTAAACCATTAAACCATAATAATTGACCTATCTAAACAGCAGTCCCTTTCAATGTCTAATTTATGATAAGGTAGACATCAGTTGGCTAGAAGAAATCAGCAGTTCCTAGAACATTGGAGTCCTCTTCAGTTTTTACATTTTTGTATTTATTTCCGGTTTCCCACCACCCTTTTGCTTTTACCTCCTGTGAGAAGTTTGTAAGTTAAAATATTTTCTGAAGACTTGTTGACACTACTCAGAAGTCTGAAAGTGGTCTGGGCAAAATAAATCCTAACTGTGGGGCAGACATAGAAGGTGGACTTGCTATGAGCCCGAAATCCTTCCAGGTGCACAGGGGCTTGACACGGTCATCAATTCAGAGTTCAGGAGGCTCCACAGCACTGGAACTGTCTGTGTCTTTTCAGAGTTCGGACTGCTTCTAGGAGCATAAAACCCAGAACAAGATACAGGGAAGGCAAAGTCTTCTAGCACATAAGTCAGAAACTTCTGCCAACTTCAGACCAAATGCAGTTTCATCCCAAATATCTTGTTGCTCCCAGCCCATCTCTTTTCACACAGAGATTCAGATGAAGGCAACCTGTGGCTTGTTTGGGAATGAGCACCTCCCATTACCACTGAGAACCAGGGCTGGTTTTTGCTGAATTAGTTACAAGTCTTCCTTCCTCTACCTTGTTGGCATAGATTCTTTAATTCCCAATGCAGAGACATGGACACAGTCACAAAGTTATAAAACTTTCCTTTGGTTGCAGCTGTCGCTGTACTTCTTAGGAGGCCAGACATGGAGGAGAAAGGAGTGAAAGAGTTGCTTGAACCCATGCTTGAACATGGGAGAAACGGTTTCTTAGGAAAGAATTAAGCTGGATGTGGATCCTTACACTCCATCAGGGGTGGCTCTAGCTCTTGCAATTCCTTTGTGTTCATTCTTCTTAAGCCTCCGGTTGCCATAGATGGCCAAGGCAATTAAAATCCCTAATGCTAGGATCGCCCCAACTGTGATTCCAGCAATGGCTCCTGCTGATATGCCTTTTGATGGCTCCTCCAGCCTCCACTCCTGGGTGGAGGAGTCCTTAATCCAGGATGTGGCACTCTCACTCCTTGCCTCTCCAATGGAGCTGGCATCAGACTGACTCATAACGGGTAGTTGAGTGTAAGGTGGTAGCCTAACAGGGGCCAGGGATGCCTTTGCAAAGACCCCAGCCTTGACACAGTAGGACACTTGGCATCCATCTCTGATAATACCTAGCTGTTGGCTGAAGCCCCCAGGACACTTTTGCGGAAATGATTCTTCCCCTAAGTCTTTGGATGTCGAAGAATCAACCAAGGGGTTCCCCGTTGTACAGCTGAAAAACCCACCAAAGGGGATTGAAAACTTGTGCCCCAACTCATGATCCATAGAAACACATACCTTGAGGTTCTCCAACAAGCTCAGTGAAAGGTAGCTGGTTGGGCATGATTGTTCATTTGTCATGGGGTTGATGCTCTTGTCAGTGAAGACTCCCCCAAAGAGAAGTCCTGAGTTTTTAGGTACTTGGCCAGTGGCTGCACACCAATAAGCCTTGAATTCAGCCCTGGTCAGTGGGAAGACATCTTCACATACTGTCTTGCAGAAGATCTTGAGGGTGCACTTCTTTTTACATACCCTGTGCTTGAAAACCTCCTCGTAGATCTGAGTCAGCAAATGGACAGGGGTGTAGCCAGAGGGACAGGAGAAATCACCAGTGAGTGGATTCTTCTGCTCCAATTTTGGGCAGAGTTCACCATACCATGTGAGTTGAGAACACACCTGATAAACGCCTCCAAAGGGGGAATTGGCTACCTTACCATCACAAGAGCCATCATCTGTATTGGCTTGAAAATTGAAGTTGGGGGAATCAACATTTGTGCAGCCTGGGTATGTGTTAAAGGCGTAGTAGTTTTTCGCAGCAGTTTCCACTGTCTTAGATAGCTTCTCCACCAAGTGTTGTGGAAAACCAGGCAGCTTGTCAGGCTTGATGAAGAAATGCAGAGGCAAGCCAGCACGGTCTACTGCCACCAGGTGGTTAGTGATGCCCTTCTGCCAGATTTCTAAGGTGATGCCTGGGTAGTATGGAATCCCTCCAATGCTCTGCATCCTGGAGTTGGTTCTGTTAGCAAGGTAGCCTATGGTCAGCCCATTCTGATAGCCAACGTCTGCCTCAGGCTTGAAGTTCACCATCTTTTTGAAGGTAATTCCAGCAGATATACTCGCAGCGGCCTGATTTCCCTCACTGTTCTTAAGGAAGGAGGACTTTATGTGATCCTCCTGAACCAGTGCAGCCCCAGCATCCACACTAGTGATTACATGTGTGCCATAGTTGAGGACCAACAGTTCTGCCAGGTAGGTGGCCATCTTTGTTTGGTTTTTCTCTAGATGGTCACAGATTTCCATGAGCTCCCTCTTAAACCCCAAGCTGAGCTCTGAATTTGGGTTGTTTTTCACTGTGTAGACCAGGTTTCTCACCTGAACTCTTGCAGTTACAGCATGATCCCTCACTTGAAGGGTCTTCATCCTTTGGAACTCAATAGAGAACTTGCCGTTGATTTTGAAAGGAGAATCGAGTCCCATGTTGATGGAAGCTGAGGTGGTGCTGCGGTAATTCACCCAGGAATCCAGGATTTCTGAGTTCATCTCCAGGTTGCTCTCTTTCTGAGGAATAGTAAAGACTTCATCGGGGATGATGTACTGTCCATCTTCTGTGGTCTTACAGTTGGTGTACGTCAACTCCATTACCCGTCCCATGTCTATGTTCCTCAGGTTATCCCAGCCACCTCCAGGTAGCACTTCCAAAGCTGGTATGTTCAAAGCATTCTGGCACTTTCGAAAGCCAGTCTCACTGATCTCTCCGAGAAGCTTGTCTGTTGCAGCATGTGCTGCTGTGGTCCAGATGAGGATTGTGACAATGATGCTCTTCATGGTGCAGACAATCTCAGTCACACACCAGTCCTGGACCAGAAAGCCTGGGACAAACAGAAAGATGTGAAGGAAAGCAGTTGCTTAAACAGTAGTTGCTTGAAAATTCAACAATTCTCCTAAAAACCATAAGTTGCTCTTCAGGCTATTCTAACTGCGAAATTGGCAAAGGAGAGTTGGTTGGAGTATTTAAGACCACTAGGACATGCAACAAAATACAGTATACCATACATGTGAACACATATCTCCACATTTCATGCCCTTGTTTTCTCCAACCCAGCTGTTTACTCTGCCGCAGTGATGAGTCCTCAGAAGCATACCCCACATCTCACTTATTCTTTACCTGGAAAGGCTGCTTTGGCTTTTTGTCCAGTCTCTTGGCTCACTGTTCTGTTCTCTTGTCAGTCTCCAGTGCCAGATTCTTTTGCTGAAAATGAAGAGGTCAGTAGCAACATCTGCCCTTCTTGACACGCTTTTATCTGCACCAGATCCAGGGTATTTCTACCTCGTGGACAAGCCTTAGGTTTCTCATTGGCTTACTGAGGCTGAGGCTGTCCTCCCAGAAAAAAATGGGGCAAAGTAGCACTAATGCACGTTTTATGATGTCTCATTGCTACAAGCTCTCATGTCCTGGTGTGTGTATGATATTATCTGGGACTGAGATTAAGGATGAAGACAGTTCTGCTTGCAGTATGCTGGGACACTTCAGCCTGACTTGTCCTAAGCATTCCATGTGAGTGAGTAACCTTACACAGCAGTTGCTTCTTTTCAGATAAAAATATCACAAAGAAGGCAAAAGCCACTCCATTTTCTCAGTTTTAATTTCTCAAAAACATACAGTGACCAAGAAGTATGTATGCCTGTGTACAAACACTTTTTTTCTCTTCTGTATATTCAATTTGCAAGTGTACCTTTTGCACTTTTAAATTTTTCAACCCACCATAGGCATATAAAAATGAATATGGCTTTTCCTTATAAAATTAAAGAAATTAAAATGTATCTTTATGTGCTTTAAAGAACATAATTTCATTTCCTTGCCTCTCTCTTTTTGTGCTGATGCCGGTTCTGTTAAACTAATGATTTGCAAAGATGCTTCTGACCCAGTGGTGAAGGATCAGGATTAAAGGAAGCTCAGCTCCCCCAGTCGTTTAGGATAATTAGAATGTGCCTTTGTACATTAACTCACTGTGAGGGAACCTAGAGGAGCTAAGAACACTTTGAATGGCGCTGTCATGGCTCCCCAAACCACACCAGAGCCAACATGCAGCCATGTTTCAATTCATAGATCTATATTGTCACCTGTATGACCTGAAGTTTTCAGGGAATTGAACAATCCTGGGTCATCACTGATGTAGCAGAGAAGCAAGTTAAGAAGGAATGGGGCCTGTTTCTGGTCTTCACAGCTGAGTTTCTCTAGTCACTCTTCAAACCGTAATTGTGCTCTGTAAATACAGAAATACCACATTGTGTGTCTGTTCAGGCACAGAACCCTGCTTAGGGAAACTGACTTATACCAACTGAGAAAAAAGGGTGAGTTTGTGAATAATGTCTAGGCTATGCTTAGCTGGAAAACTCAGGCACCTCAGAGGATGCTGTCCTTAGTTTATAATCAGGTGGTTATGTGCTAATACCTCAGGAGAGGGAGGTATTAGCCTCCCATCAAATGCCTTTGAGCAATCATAATAATTCTGTATTTGAGTCTTTCTCTTCACACTGTTTCAGGGATGCTCATCAGTAGCGGAATACTCTCCCTCCTACATTCATGTGGAGACAGGCTAGCGATTTCTCATTCTTTGTTTCTCTTTTCTTGATCTCACTCTTCTGAAAGAATACCAGCAGGTAAATGTAGGCAGATCTAAATCTAGATGTTTCTAAACACTTAATGTCCGCCTTTTTGTTTCTTTGCTACAGTCTTCCTTCTCATCTTTGGCACAGGCAATGAAAATTAATATAGTTATGAAAGCCAGCAAGAGTTATATGACAAAATATTTTAGTAGGAAGAGAGCAAGATGAAGTGACTATGACCAGAGTATATTATGTATGAGGATGCCATGATGAATCCCATTATGTATAATTGATATATGCTAGTAAAATAGTTAAAGTTTAGAAAATAAACACTAAGATTTTTAAGAAAAACATTTTATAGAAAACACAATTCCTTTAAAATGACTTATTTTTATTTATGTGTATGTATCTCTCTCTTTCTGTGTGTGTGTGTGTGTGTGTGTGTGTGCATATGTGTGTGTGTGTGTGTGTACCCATGAAGACTAGAAGAGGACATCAGATCCCTTGAAACTGGAGTTACAGATGGTTATGAGCTGCCTGATATGAATGCTAGGAACAAAACTCAGTATTCTGAGAACACAGCAAGCACTCTTAACTGCTGAGCCATATCTCCAACCCTACAACACAACCTATTCAAACAATTTTAATAACATATTAAATAATGCTGAAATGCATTCAATATTACTAGATATTTACAAATATCCACTACTAGAGGCATCTACACCAGCCCATTGATGGTAATGACATCTGATTGGTAAGGATTATTCAATTGCTTTGATTTTTTCTTATCAATTTTATTTTTATTTGTTTTAGTTTTTAATAATGCAAAAAGTAAGTAGCAACTGCCAAACAATACTCAGTAAAATAATCAAGAAATGCATAACTTTTTAAAAAGAAACAGATCACTTTGGGGATTTTCATATGCCTGAGGCTGTTAAATGCCTATGGACTCTGTGATTCTTTTGCTTAGTGAGTTGTGTTTTCCCATCATATAAATGATGGGAATATGGGACACAACCCAAATCTGCACACCAGGGCAGTAAGTTCTTAACAGGCATTTTCCTATTTCTCCCCTTCCACCAACAATTTCCTCTGCTCTCTTGCATTGAGTTATGTGTGCAAGAACATATTCTTTCAGGGTGAGTAAATGCCAGGGGCTACACACTAAACCCTGGCCTCAAGCAGAGAGAAGTGATTCTTCTGCACAAGGTGTGCATCTAAGGTGCTAAAAGGCACTTTCATTTCCTCTAACAAACTGGAAGCCACGTACAAGCTTCTGACACCATGTCATGAGGAACCATGATTCATGTGTGATGTTCATCCTGTGCAGGCTTGGGACCGGAATAGATGTTTCCAATCCCTGTAGTTCCTCATCCATCTTGGATGATTTCATGGGCCATGATCATCTCATTTTATGTGTTCTGCAGGAATCTAAGAGGCTCATTAGAAACTCAGCACACAAAACAGGGAGCCGGGACTTCTTGAGCTCCAGTAAACTCCAGTCTAGACTGAAGGATGTACCAGTGAGGCAGTGACATTTTTCTCTTCTCAATAGCTGACACCTAACTTGATGTTCTGGGACTTGCCTGGTCCACTCTTTCCCTTCAGCAGGAGTTCTCCCACCAGGACTGTTTGTCTGCTAAAAGACGAGCCCAGTGGGTTTGCAGTCCCTTTTATTATGGAGGGTAGAAAGAGAAAGGTGATGGAAAATGCTTCTTTGCAGTTATGTAAAAAGCTAGGCCGATTTCCAGAAGAAAACGGATGTCATGCCTGCATCTTTAGTGAATAAACTTGGGAGAGTTGGGTAGCAGCTGTCAGACAGAAGAGATGGGTGATGGCCAGGAATCTCTAGTTTAACATCGAAGTAAAGAAGGAAACTTACAAAGCAGAACATGGAGAATCCAGCCTGTCCTGGATGAATCTGCATGGTCTAGGGAGCTAGCTCTCCTTTCCCACTAAGAGTATAACCAGAGCTATGGCCTAAGACAGAGGTCCTTAGAAAACTGACACTATACTCCCCCAAACAGATATTTTAAAGAGAAAGGGACAGAAAGAAAGGTTGCACTCAATAACAGAAAAGCCTCTGAATCCCTCCCTACTCAGCCCTCTACCAAATCAACAGCAAGACACCATTTTTAAAAAAGACCCCTGCTGAGTCATGGCTTAGCAGGCCCAGACTATCTATAAACCATACTCCTGGGAAACCAAGAACACATTTCACCAGCGTTGTAAGCTAAAGGGTAGCCAGTAGAATTATTCTAGACCATAGGAAAAAACTTTACATCAGAACTGTACAGTATTCAGGTAGGTGGAAACCTGGTTGGAGTCTGCAGGGTAACACAGATTCAGCTTCTAAGCATCAGTTTGCCAGACATCAGGCAACTGCCTAGGGGCAGGGCCAGCATTGTCAAACTGATGGTGAAGACAAGACCAGACTCCATAATCTGTCCTTGCAAGGGACCACACAGTAGGAAGAAGAGCATTAGAGCCTGGCCCCTGAAGGACAGCTGAGGTACGGCCAACATGGAGGTGTATGTTAGGTATGTGAAGCCCTGCAAACTGGTGGAACCGAGATCTGTGATGTGACCTCAAAAGGGGTTAACCAGAGCTGGGGCCAGCATTCACAACTAGACTCCTGAAGCATCCACAACCAGACGGTCCAAAGGTATGACCATCATCTATGGGATGATCCATGAAAACTGTTCAGTGATGGGACCAACATCTGTGACTTAACCTTGCAAAGGTCTACTCAAGGAAGAGATAGGCATCTGAAACTCAGGGAAAGAATGTTAGCAGTTAAGGCTAGGACAGTGGGTTTTATATAACTTGAATATTGCTTAATGATTGCATCTAAGTAGCCACTGGTTTGTCCTAAACTCTTGTTATTTAGTTGTCTTTGTGTTTTAATTGGCACATAGTAACTGCATTTTTATGAGATATTGTATGATAATTTGATACAAGACATAATTTTGAATGTTCAAAACAGGTTATTAACATTTCATCCTTTCAAAACATACCATTGCTTTATGTTGGGGCTTTTAATAAAAGAGAGTAAAACATAAATTACCACCAACTTCACACATGGTAAAGAGAACTATAACTTCCTTCTACTTGACTTATTACCTAACTTCTTTTATATTTCCCTCTTCCCTTCCTAACCTGTAATTACCTCCATAGTACTCTCTACTTGGGTTCTCTGGAAGAACAGCAAGTACTGTTAAGCCCTGAGCCATCTATCCAGTCCTGAATTTTTTAACAAAGGGATTTGTGTATGTTGTTGAATTGAAACTCAACTTTTAAATATGCTGTTTATAATGCCTGGCATATCATAAGCTTCTAGTAAGAATCTGTTTACTTGCCTTGGTTTCACATCTCTAAATACCAGGTAAACTTGGATTTATTTGTTTACTGAACAGATACTTATTAAGCACATAGTCTGTGGAAGGTTCTACCCAGTGTTTTGGAGGAAAGAGTTAAGGAGAGCTTAGGCATGGATGCTAACAACTTAGGAAAAGACATAATCAGAAAAAAAAAAAACATAGTGTCAGATGGAATTAGGGGGTTCCTATAGTATTTTATAAGAATATATTTCCATGGTAGTTATACCTGGTCTGTAGGACTCTAGAATCAAGGAAGGCTTGACAGAGGAATATACTGACTAAATCATCTCCACCCACATAGATATTGCTAATAATTCAGCTAGTCATAGAAATGATCAAATGAAAACACTGTAGAATGCCAGAGTACTAGGCAGAATACTGATAATCAGGACAGATGTGATTCAGAGTTGGTTGTAACTCACTGTGGTTTATTTACACAATCATGAAAGAAATAAGACTCCATTTACCACTTACTCTAGAATTATCTTGAAAAATGTGGTTAAAGATGGTTTTAGTGACATATTCCATTCTGCAGCAAATTCTCCAACATAAGTGCCTTATTTGGGATCCTGCTCTGGAATGCAGTCACCACTGGAGTGGTGACACTTCTTAGAGAATATGTAGAAATTGAGTGAAGGCTAACAGAACAGCAAGAAAGCCCGACATCAAGATTCAGGGAGACTGTAGACAGGACACAGACTAACAGCCATATGAGATCAAGAGTGATCAAGATCTAGTGAGCAGATGAAGTTTTTCTTTTCCGACTGGTCATGCTTAGTCACAAGATTTCCAGCATGAACCTCATGCCCTTCTATTTACAGGTATGTCCAAACTTTTGATATTGTAACATGGAACCATCTACAAAACCCATAATTGAGAATACAACTGAATTTTTAAAAATTCTCCAAAAATATCTTATAATAGTTAAGTAAATTTGCAATTTTGCATTGAGCTATATTAATTTCTATCTTTGGCTGCAGGTAACCCCTGTATACCTCACTGTAGGGCCTCCTCATATGTCCTATCCCCACTCTTTCCTCATCATGACCGTATAGATATAAATGTTGGTGGTCTTAGCTCCTTGTATCTGGCCTCCAAAGACTTTATGACTACACCCATTATCCTTGATTATCCCTAAGCATAGTTTACGGATACCCTACTACTCTACTGCCTCTGAGTCATCATTGTTGAATTCATGTCAGCGGAGTTCCTAATCCAAAGTTAATATTTCTCATTAACACCAACCCTTGGATAGGTAGTAATCCAAGACAAGAGCAACAGGCAATATATCCCAATAGGTAAGTGAATTAGCAAGAACCATACTTTATTGTAATGAAGACATTGATGAATTACATGTACCTACGACTAGGTTTTGGCTCGTATCCCTAAGACATGGCATCTTGAACTTAGCACCTGGTACTCTATGGTAGAGGAGTACCATCAAAACCATATTTATTTTACCTTCCAAATGACCAAATTTAAAATCTAACACTAGCCCATAAAAAATAAAGTAAATAAATAAATAAATATCCATTGAATACAATTATCCAGTACATATGTCAATTTGAGGTAGGGTTTTTTTTTTTTCTTGAAATAGTTTCTCTAACTTACTATCAATTTTCTGAGCCACACTATTATTTTATTATTTATATTTAACAAAAGGCTTAAGTTGTTTTTTCTTCTGTTTATACCTAAGAAATTATAGCACGGAGACAGGACATCCGCTTCTTTCTCTCCTTGAGTTTCTTCAATGCTTCTTTGATCTCCTTGTTTCTTAGGCTGTAGATGATAGGGTTCAACATGGGTATCACTGCACCATAGAACATGGACACCACCTTATTTTTGTCCTGTGAGTAGCCAGTATTAGAATGGAGGTATGAGAAGAGACCAGAGCCATAGAAAAGAACCACTGTAGTTAGATGAGAGGCACAGGTGTTGAAAGCCTTCATCCGCCCATGAATTGAATGAATCTTCATGACAGCAGCAATGATGTAGCCATAGGAGACCAGGACAACCAGGGCTGATGTCCCACCAACTGCACACACGACCAGGAAGTTCACTACTTGGCTAAAAAAAGTACTAGAGCAAGACAAGGACATCAGGGGTGGCAAATCACAGAAAAAATGGTTAATGACCCGAGACCCACAGAAATGAAGCTGGAATATGGAGCTGGTTTGGACCAACCCAGTGAGGAACCCTCCTGTGTATGCTGTGATAGCCATCCCCACACAGATGGTGGGTGACATGAGGGATGGATAGAGTAGAGGATTGGAGATAGCAGCATATCTGTCATATGCCATGGCTGCCAGGAGACAGCATTCAGTGCCTCCCATTCCAATAAAGAAGAAAAGCTGTGTAGCACAGCCTACAAAGGAGATAGTCTTCTGCTCCCTAAAGAAATCACAGAGCATCTTAGGGGCTATGGAGGAAGTGTATGAGACATCAACAAAGGACAGGTTACTAAGAAAGAAGTACATGGGGGAGTGGAGGTGTGAGTCCGTCCTGATCAGGACAATGAGGCCCAGGTTTCCAGCCATGGTCACCAGGTAGATCCCCAGAAACAACAGGAAAAGGACAATCTGCAGCTTGGGGTGCTCTAAAAATCCCAAAAGGATGAAATTGGTCACCATGCTAATGTTCCTTCCCACAGCCATGTATCAGCTCTGCCGTCTTCAAAGTCCCAGAGATAGAATCCTGGGGGCAATTGAAATCCAGGTGAAGAAACTCTTCTGCTTTGTCAAAGAATCATAGACTCCTACAACCAGAAGACATTCCCCAAAATAAATGTCTGATGCAGAATTCCCCTCCACAACATATGGAGGTCACTATCCCACTTATCTGATGAACTTGTTAATGTAAAAGTATATCAAGATAGTAATCTTTGCATCAATAGCATCACAACTACCATGTTAGTGGAGGGAGTTACTTATTAGTAGTATTTGAGCTGACAATCTCTCTCTTCTTTTAGATTGCTCAATATGTTGCACTAGACTATTAAATCACTTAGATTTAGACATGTATTCTTTTCTTTTTAAAGAGAAGAAATATATCAAAACTCAAAATGCTTGCAGAGGTAATTGTGTTTCTTAGTTTTGTTTTTTATTGAAAATTCATGCAATATATTCTGATTACAGTTTCCCCTCCCATATCTCCTCCCAGTTTCTCCATAGTTCCCCACCCACCCAACTCCACACCTTCTTGCTCTCTTTCTTTAGAAAACAGATAGGCAAAAAAAAAAAAAAAAGGATAAATAATTTTAAGAACAAAACACACACACACATACACACACACACACACACACACACACACACACACACACACACAAACATACACAAAGACAAAAACCAATAGGATGTTTTTAAAAATGCCCAAACAAAGCAACATGAGAAAAAAAAAATCTACAAAATACTACTAAGTTCATTTTGTATTGGCCACCTACTGCTGGGCATTGGACCTATCCTTAAATGTGTTTTATATACTCAGTGAGACTCTGTTGGAGAGAACTAATTTTCCTGTTGCAGTTTTATCATTATAGTTATAACCAGCTTTCATGAACAGGACCCCCTCCGTGTGTGTGTGTGTGTGTGTGTGTGTGTGTGTGTGTGTGTGTGTGTGTCTCTGTTTTTCTTATCCTCTCCCCTCTATCTCAACAGAGTGAAGCATATAGAGATAAAACTTGGAAAAATACTGACTAAACCAGAGAGTGAAAAACGTTAACCATGCGAAACTTGAATGCTTTTCCTGCACAAAGATTATCAACTGACCATCTCGCACTGTGTGCTTGTTAGAGCTAAATGCTGATGATGGAGATATTAGTAACACATTATATTAAGTGCAGAACACTCAAAAAATGCACTGACAGAAAAACAGGTGATCAATAGCACAGCATAACAAGTGCTGTTAGAGAAACCTTTATACACTGCCCTGGAGCCTGGAGATAGTAGGTAGTGCTTTTTTAAAATTCCCTGTGAGGAGAATTGCAAAGGTAAGTAAAGGAGTCCCAGGATGGAAGACACTGTGAGAGGCTTGGCGGGGGTGGGGGGTAGGGAGTGGGGGTGGAGTGGCTCTGAGATCTGAAATATTCATTTTAAGCAGGAGGAGAACATTTGCAGAAGTACAGGGGAGAAAGCTTAGCATTTAAGGCGTATAAAAAGGGGAATAGAAGACACAGAAGGGAAGTTCTGAAAGCCAGAGGTGGGGAGACAAATTGTGAAAGATCACTGAAAGCTTAGGTGGAAAAGACACATTTGTTTCAAACACAAAAAATCATAAACGTGCAAATATACATACATATGTAATCACATAAACCGTATGCCATCACATACATGTGTACATTCCTGTTTAATTTCAGCCTCTCTCCACTTACAGACTTCTGATCCATTTATGTGGCTCTGTCCATTTATGTGGTTCCATTTTTAGACAGAAGCAATCACCTTAGAATGCTGCATAGATTCGGGTTGTTTCTTGATTTTTCTGTCCTTCACTAGAACAGAAGCATAGCAAAGACAGTTAATTTTAGAATTCTTTTCTTGTTCGTTAACTAAATACCCCAAACACTTAAACCTACACCTAGCACAGAGCAGGGTCTCCCAAATATCACGTTAAAGAGCTTGACAGTTTCCCTGCAGTCAAGACAGAAAACATGAATCTTTCTGGATTTCTAAACATTCTGATTCCTTACTGTAAACAGGTAACTAGCTGCAATTACAAATAACTAAACACTCGTGACCTTAGTGTAACTCAGAGTGTGACTACACAACTAAACACTTGTGACCTCAGTGTAACTCAGAGTGTAACAGATTTACAGAAGTAGGAAGGAAGATGACTGGGAATCAAAGGGAACAGAGAGAGACGACCAGAAAGTTGCTCTAAAGTATAGAGTAGCTAAGGTTAACAACAGTTGGCTCGAGACAGGCAGATTTACAAACTGATGCTCCTTTAAGCCTTTTCCTGTAGGAAAAAGAAACCACACTGGGCTAAGCCCTTGGCAAGGCCTGCCCATCTTTCCTGTGCAACATTCATTCGCTGTGATTATCAAAGGTTTACTTTACCCAGGTACATATGATTCTTTCCTATTTCAGCCCCAAGACATGGTTTCTAGGATTACATGTTTAGAATATGGTAAGAGTTAACCACTAATTAATTTATATAATTCCTATGTGGGCAGGTTGGTTGTTTTTACCTAAATTATCTACAGACAATGATATAGGAGAGTATACGAGGCCCACTAAATTCCCTTATAATACTACTTTCTATCTTTGTCATGGCCTGAGTGCTACCATCAATTGTTATTTTTTTGTTGGTGGTTGTGGTGCTGATAGTGGTCTCCCCCCTGTGGTTTTGAGCTTATTTAGATCTCTACAGCAATTATCCTATTTGTGGTTAGTCAAAGCAGGGCTTGGAAATCATACAAAGCAGAGCTAGTCTCTAATCTTTGCATCTCAATTCATTAGTTCTGTCACACTGGACAAGCCAGTGGTGCTGAGAATTGGGTTTGGAGCCTATTGCACAGTAGGTGGGTTTTCTATTATCGAGCTATATCCTCAACTCCTGACACATCACACATAAATCTCTTCCTATGATTTCCCTTAACTTTAAATTATGGGCAGCAATAGAAAAAAATTTCACTATTTCACCAATGGTCAGCGCTATCAGGATTCTGACCAAAATCATTCCATCTCTACATGGCCTACTTCTTATCTGCATCTGCAGACTGAATGCAAGTGTGTGTGTGTGTGTGTGTGTGTGTGTGTGTGTGTGTGTGTGTGTGTGTCTGTCTGTCTGTCTGTCTGTCTGTCTGTGTCTGTGTCTGTGTCTATGTGCATTTATGCAGCACAGCAATGGTTACACTGGCACTTTCTTTCATGTTATCAATCTGTATAGCATCATATTGGTTCATTTCACAACACTTACCATGCTTTGTATTTTTGTTGGATCCTTTCTTCTTAACTATAAGCTATGGGATGGCATTCTAACCCAAGTTCTTTGCACCTAGCAGACCTGAATGGCATCAATTTACAATTTTTTAAAATATATATTGCTGGCAAGAGATATATTGAAATTATGGAAGAACAAAAATTTATTAAACTGTTGAGTCAATATTTAAGCTTTTAATTCCTTGACTCCCAAGTTTGTGGTCTTTTCTGATGTCTAAATCCATCTGGAGGTGGATCTGAGCAATTGATGGTACTCTACCATTCATACAACTGCATGAGGTGTGATCTTTCACCCAGCCCATGTGATTGGACAGGACCAGTATCTGAAAATGATTATGAAGAGTTTTCTTGTCCTCAATCTTGGCATGATTATGAAGAGTTTTCTTGTCCTCAATCTTGGCAGTGTGATTAACTTTTAACAATGAAGTTAATGTGTCAAGATCAAAAGGAATAGATCTGTGATATGGTCATTTGCAAATAAATGATTTCTCTGAGGGGCACACAGCATGCCCCTCAGTTTAGTGGATTCTGTAGGATGTGGTGAATGAAACAGAAAGACCAACAAGAGGAAAAAGTGTTTACATGGATCACTTTCTCTCCATCATTTATCAGAGTGCTTGGATTTTACAGATGCCTGGTGGATATTTTGTTCACTGGCCAAATAAGGGTTACCACACTTAAAACTTGTTCTATTCCCAAGACCATGGGGCTTGCCCTATTTTAAGTACTTCCTGGATACTCAAAAAAAATATTGAGAATATATTTAAACTAATAAAATATCATAACTGGAAATCAGCCAGCTTGGACTTTCTCCACTATGATTTTAAAACTAAAGCCAAAAGAGATAAAGGGAATGTCAATATAACTGACTAGTACTGGAGGAGAAATTAGAACTTGTGTCTCATGCTTTAGGAAGAGCCCTTTACCCTCCACCTTCTTCTAAAGCCTGGCGTCTCAATGGGAGACACAAAGACCCTTTACTTTGCGGGCACACCCATGATTGCACACCCCTAAGAGTCTATAGCAACATAAAAAGTACTGGCTTTTAAATTCTGGTATTATTATTTTGCCTACACTTTACTGTGTGACCTTTGCAAAGCATATTTCCTTCTCCAAATCCTTACCTCCTCCTCTTCTGAAGGTGAAAAAAAATGATTAACTTAGATCAGTATTGGCTTATTCATTTCTCTTCACATTTCAAATTGTAAGTAATAGAAACCTTTCAAGGAAATAATACACTTTCCAAATTCTAAAATCCTAAATAGTCAAAGCACAGCTCCCCTCATTAAACTCAGAGAGTGAGACCAAAGTTCCAAGCATCTTTCCTGGCCCACCTTTCCCTCTTAGTCACTGGCTTTGCCATCCAAGGATTCACAGGTAACCAGTTCAAGGAAGTGCAGAAGGGTCACTCACCTGGAATACCTTCCAACTCTGTGCTTCAGTTAGCAGACTGAGGCCATACACTCAAAGAGAAAACAAAGCCCTTTCCTGCCTGAACCTGGAAGACAGGTCATATTGGAGGAGATAAGTAAGCGTTGGATGTAGCCATGTTAAATTGACTGCCAAGAGAAGGGCTTAGAGTGGGGGAATTTAAAGAAAATCAGGTTGTCTCCTGGTGCCGTTGAGTCTCTCTAGGTGGAAATATGTCCCCAAGAGTCCTAATGGGCAGTGTGGCTGGCTACCTGGGCTCAGGAGTAAAAAGGATGCCAGCTTTGTCTGAATAAAGTTGGTATCAGCAACACCCCCTACTTTCTTTATATTCCCAGTCCCTC